CGTGCCCGGCCCGCTGCCGTGGCCTGGCCCGCTGCCGTGGCCTGGCCCGCTGCCGTGGCCTGGCCCGGTTCGGCCGCTTTCTGCTCAGCCTGGGGGAGTTGGAGCACCTGTGTCCCGTCCCCTCTGCAGCCGCCTCTCTGGACCTCGCGAGGGAGCAGCGCTGCATTGCCCTGCTGCTTCTCAAACCAAGCAGGGCTCCTGGAGCCTCACTAGGCTGGTAGGGACCAGCTGCAGGCCTTGTCTTCCAGCCTTGTACATCCATGTCCTTCCAGGCCAGCGTGAGGCCTCCAGCACATGGTGCTGCCCACCGCGAGAGGAGAGAGCCGTGAGACCCTTTTCGTGGTCACAGAAGTGTTCGTAGTGGGAGTGAGGGATCCGGGTTTCAGGGAGAGGCATCTCGTCTGGTGCAGCTGGGGCACTCATAGTCTTCATCCTGCTTTGTTTCATATTGATTCCTGTTTCATCCGTTGGTGCCAGCTGGGTGTAGAAATGTTAACAGGTTAGCTGTTTACTAGTGGAAAAGGTAAAAGAGCAAAGTTTGCTTCGGGTGGACTGAAAGAACCTGATTTGAGAGCTCCTGCTTAGAGCTGTTCCTTGCTGCTCTGTGTGGACTCGCACCACATGCAGGTCGTGGGGATCCCTTCCTGTTGGAGGTGGGAATCAGCCTGCTGGGAAAACTGGCAATGCTTCAGACTGGCCTTCTGCATAGGTAAGGGATGGAGCATTGCATGGACCAAAAGATACAGTGCTCAGAGAAGTTCGTTTGAAAACCCTTGGATGGGTGTATCCTCAGGTGTAAGCTGCATTTCCAGATTTGCTGCCAGCTGGTAAATGCTGCTTTCTGAGCAATTTATTCCATTCAAGGAAAAGATAGAACTCACTGCTGCTTTGAAGCTGTTTCAAAAAGGCAAAAAAAAAACCCCAAACAAGCCAACATAGCAACATACATTTTTAAAGTTTTGTTTGCAGCTGCTCCTTCAGACTCACCTGGGGCTGAGAGTGACATTCTGTCAGTGTGCTTCAGGGAGCTGATTTAGCTTTGATGCCTTGTCTGTCTTTATTGGAAATGATCAGAATAAGTACTCAATGCAAAGAAGTTTGGTGTGGGTGAATGCATTGAAGTTTGTTTTGTTTTGTTTTTTCTTAGAACCACTAATATTGTGGTAAAATTGCATTTTAGTTTTGCATTGGTGAGGATGTAAATGGGGCCTTGTTCTGGCTCGCCTGGGGTGGGGGACTCTCAGTGCTGTCTGAGGCTTTTTCTGTTCTCCTCACAGAGCCTCTTGTTCTTCCCAGTGCTTGCAGCCTGTCTTGGGCTTCATCCTTTCATTTTTCTTCTCCTTTCACTTAAACATCCCCTTTAGTTGAAACACCTAAATCATGACACAATGTTTTTTGTTAAGAAATGTCATTTTATGTAAGTCAGCTTATATCAAGCGTTACTATAATTGGTGGCAAAACTGGAGGTAGTGCTTGACTTGGTCAATACTTCTCACATGCTTGGTTTTTGAGGCCGTTGGAGCAGGCCAGGCTATTTTGGGATTTTTCATGATTGTCACGGCATTCTTGGCGTGCCCCGGGAGGGCGCTGGGGGTGGCATGGGATCCCAACTGCCACACAGGGAACTGCTTTTCCAGGGAACCGTGGCTTGCTTCTGCCCATGATGTTTTCTGCCTAGGTGCTTGTTGGAGCTGAAAAATATATGCTGGTTGAGGACTAGTCTAGTGGTAAATATTTTTAGGAATTGAGTTCGCTTTTCCTGTTAACACCTGTGAGGAGGAGCTTTGACATGTACAGTTTCTTTTTGACGTGACTTTGGTCACTTTTTGCTGAATTTAGCTTTAGCTAAAGCTAGGAAGAGTACCCAGGAGCTTCCTGTTTATGCTGGAGTGGGGTGGTCTGCCTGCCTGTCCTTCAGGAGCTGGATCTCTGAATCCTCTCTGCTGTGGGGCTGCTCTGTGCACTGCCTGAGCTGTCACTGCTCACGTCCTCTTGCCGTTGAGTAACTGCAGTGGCTGTCCCTTCCAGGAGCTCTTTATTCAGAAGGGGCTGATTGTGTTCATGGAGTGCTAATTTGAAGAGTGGTTATCTTCAAAATAGCCTTATGAGGAGTATAACTGATTCCAGGCAGCTTCAGATGCTTGTAAGCTTCTGAATAGCAGTAGCAAACCACACAGTTAAGTTACAAGGGACACAGTATCAAGGGAAATTAGATGACACTGGGCTACGGTTTCTCTTCATATTAACAGTTAGAGGAGTAACCTCGTCAAGCATCTCTAGTGATTTTTGCTGTTGTGGTGGTTTTAAAATTTGTGGCCTGAAAGTTTTTCTCCTTGGCTGTGTGGCCACACAGACTAGGAAGCTCAGTGACAGGACACATACAAAACTTTCTGAGAAAGAAACTTTCTGCTTCTTTGTCACCTAAAATTGCTAGGTCAGGCATTTTGAAGGTTGAGATCCCCCTTCTCCTGCTTCCTTATGGGCTGTGTCCTCAGCCAGGAGGCTGGAGGTGTCTCTTTGGTGGTCTCAAACTGGGCTCTGCAGCACTTGCACCTGTGAGGCTGCTAAGCCAAGCAAGCCTTGTGGTAGGTGTAATAAGATAGGAGGCATGTGTCTCCTCTCCTGTGACAAGTTTATCTGTACTGGGGTCTGCAAGTACAAAAAGAAAAAAACTCCATAACAGTAAAAGCCACTGGTCTGTAAGCCAGGAAGACATTAGACCAAAATCAGTGTGTGCAAAGATTATAAACCTGCCCTCAAACTCACTAATTTTTAATGACACGTTGAGGCTGGCTCCACTGAGCTCCACAGAGCAGGTTGCCTACCTGCTCGGAGCCTGGAGGTACAAAGACCTGTTTTCATGATCTACCTCTCTCCTAATTAGACAAAACACGTTTGTTATGAAGCAATAATGCACTACTTAATTGGATTTTTTGGTAGTGGGGTAGCCATGCAAAGGCTGTCCCAGTGTCAGTATCCACGTCCATAGTTTCCCTATGCATTTCTGCTGAGTACCTTGCACCTTGTTGCACCAGCAGCGAGTGGGGGGCAGTGGGTTCATTGGGTGAGTTGCATCCTGAGCACACGTGTCTTGCCTTCACACAGACTCTGCTGCAATCCCCAGGCAAATACTGCCACTGCTCCTGTGGCCTGAGAGAGCTGGGTAGAGGCAGGCGGGACTTTTTTTTGTTGTTTTTTTCCTTATTTAAAATGAAACGTTTGCTCTGCAACAACTGCCATCAAACCACGAAAGGGTCATGGTGTAGTAGTCAGCCTACTTAAATTAGTATAGGTTCTGTAATTGAGATTTTTGCCCACTGACTTAATGTGGGTACAGTGGAGATTTGCTAATAAGGTGAAGAACTGTTATCTGCAGAAGAAATCTGCATGATGAAGGCTCTGAGCTGCCAGCATGGGTTGGAGCAGTTACGGTTTTGCCTGAGTCATCATTCTGGGGGATGAAGAAAGTGAATTGTTCCTGTTATCTTGGGGTGCGGTCCAGCAAAGCCAATGGGATGCCAAGGTACCAGTGAAAGGCAGAGTCCTGCCTTAGCTTTCACTGCCTGCAGTTTTTCTTGTGCTGTCAGCAGTCCTCATGCTGCCTGTGGTGACTGGGTTTAGAGAGCTCAACTAGCAGAAGAATTAATTAGGGAAGAAAATGACAGTCTGTAAGGAGCATGGAGGACACAGATTTGAGTATCCTATTTCCTAGCCGTGTTTTGGAATAGTTTTGTGGGATTTTTGCCACTTATTTTTCTTCCCAGCAGCTGGATTTTTGACCAGGGTTTCATAGAATGGCTAAAGTTGGAAAGGACCTTCAAAACCATCAGGTTTCAACCTCCCTGCTATGGACAGGGACACCTCCCACTAGACCAGGCTGCACAAAACTTCATTCAACAAGACGTCCAGGGATGGGGCTTCCACAGCTTTCCTGGACAACCTGTGCCAGTGCCTTAAAACCCTCGTGAAGAATTTTTTCCTGATGTCTACCTTAAATCTACTGATTTCAGTTTTAATCCATTACCCCTTGTCCTATCACTATGCTCTCTGATGAAAAATCCCTCCCCATCAACTTTATTATTAGTTTCATCAACTTAATTTTTAGTTTTGATAGTGGGTTGAAGAGCATTAAATAAGGACTTGATGTGTGTCATCATGCTTCAGTGGGTAGCATTTTTTGTATGGGATATCAGTGGAAAACTATCTGTCAGACTGTAATTGTTTGTTTTTTTCCAGGTTTCCTTAGGCTCTGCTGATTGTCAAAAGATGGGAGAGATAGAAGGAACATACAGAGTCCTGCAGACTCCTGGCTCTCGTTTGGGTGTTCAGAAGGCTACAGGAGTGAGCACCTTGGAGACAGGACAGAACTTCTCTACTGCAATGGCATCATTGCCTGCCAAAACACATGAGAGGGACTTACCCATCAAAATAAAGATGTTGGACAACACAGTGGAAGTGCTTGACATTGAGGTAAGAACAGTTTAAATCTGATTTCAAGTACACTTAACCTCCAGTAATGTAAAGCTCTTGGGATGTTTTTAGGCAGTATTTAGATAAAGAATCCTGTAGGATTTTACCTACTTACAAGTAGTTAAATGAGGAGCACATCTTGGTTTTAAAAATCTTTTAAGAGATGTTTTCAACAGACTTTAAATACAAGCACATACTGTAACAAGAGGCTTTAATTGTTATTTGCTTTGGGGGAACACCAGCTATATCCTCTGCCAAACTGTCCTTGCTTCCTGAGCCACATGCAGCTTTGTTGATTTGGCAGCTGGGAGAGCATTAGAGTTTGTTTGGGTTTTTTTGTTGTTGTTGTTACTACTTTTTATTAATTATTTTAATGGTTTGTATTCTCTTCAAATAAACTTCCTCCTATTTGACAGTGTTTGCTTGTTGCAGCAGTTTGGGAGGAAGGCATCAGAGAGGTGGCAATGTTTCTGAAAACTTGTATTTAAAATTCTGCTTGCTTAGCAATTGGGGAAATCCACCTTAACAAATAGAGACCATCCTCAAGTGTGGGTGGTTCTGCTTTTTAAACAATCAAAAATTGACTTTGCTATTAGTACTTGTAGCCTTAGTTTGTTGCATAGACTTAGACAGGTTTTTGCAATAGACTGAAAATGATGTCTATGAAGTTCTGAAGAAATAGTGGATTTGAGGGATATCTTCTACAGATTGCTGTTCAGCTGTTCAACTCTCAAACATGAAATCTGGGGTTTTTGGGGTTTGTTTTGACCTGGTTCTCCTTTGCCTGCTGGTACAGTCTTGACTATATATCCTTCCAGTTATCTTCATTGCTTTCTGGCCTCCTGCAGGTCCAGTTTAGCTCCATCCTTGACCCTTTGTCTTATCTTTCCCCCATCATAGTGAGATATTCCATGATTAGAAACTATTTTAATTTTCTCTTTTTACCTGGAAAGCTGTCTCTCATTACAGCATCCACAGTGACACCCCAATTTGGGCAGCCACTATCTTGAGGCGATAGTTAATCTCTTTTCTATGAGTAATATTCTTCTTCACGAGGCTGTCGGAACTTAGCAACTTAGAAACTTTTTCCTGGATGTGAGCAGCTAGAGGGTCGTCCTTTGTCCACCTGTAGAGCATGGAGCACAAAAAGATCCACACTTAGCCACTGTAGCATTGGAGTCCTGGTCGTGCACTGCCTACATGGCCTTTCATTTTTGTCCAAATGAGGCATCAGCTGATAGCAAGCATAGTAACCCTCTGCCTCCTCATTTGTTGGGTGTACTGGTAGGATAGCAGCAATGCTGACTGCTATTTGTGATGGAAAATGGAAATTTTTCCCTTTGGGGATTGAGGGCAAAAATTAGGAAAGGTCAGCCACGTTTGCTGAAAGCTAGTGTGGGCTAGCACAGTTGTTTGTTGTTGTGGTTTTTTTAAGCAATGAGAGAAACTGATGTTTAAGCAGCTGTCCTAGAGGGATGTTAGCTCTGATTGCAGTGCCACTTGCCTGCTTCCCTTTGCTTTTGCAATTTTTTTTTCACTGGGTGTGGAAACAAGAGGGGGTGCTGTCCTCATTAACTGTTTAATGGGTTTTGTGTTGATTCAGGTCAGTGATATTTTTTCAGTCTAGTAGGACACTGAGGCCTTTCTCATAGGTGCTGTTGGCACTGACTTCTAATGGACCTTATGGCAAAAGGTGTGTTTTTTTTCCCGTCTTCAAATCATGTCCCCTCTTCAGATCATTTACCCTTCTATCTTCTAAGAACTATAGTATATATATTTTATATATATAAAATACATTCTTATATTTTTTTACTGAGAAGAGTGGTATATCAGTGAAAGGGACTGACTAGGCACTTCCTTATCTCCTGGCAGGTGCTTGTGGATACTCGTTTGGTAGCTCTTCCCCATTGCTTGGGTTTTTTAACTTGCCAAAGAAGGGCAAGAAAAGAGACTGAAAAAATGGCTTAACAGATGGGTTAAGAACAAAATAGGAAAGCAGTCTTTCCTTCATGTTATTTTTATACCTAGAACAGTGTGTTGAAACTTCAGTACAGCTACAATCCACAGCCTTATGTTTAAAATCCACTGTCTCTGTCCACTCTCACTATCTGTGCTGTAAGATTTTCTTTCTAATCATAAGTTTTGTTAATCAGTAAGAGGTAGCAGTTCTTTAAGTACACTGGGACAGAGCTCCTCTCCAGGGAATCTTTTGAATGTTAGGGGATGGAGAAATACTCAAATGTTTTCTCGAGTATAAAAAGCTGAAAATTGCATATTTATGGTTTCTCCTTTCTCTCCCAGAACAGAATAGAGAATGAGACAAGCCTGTCCAAAGCCAGACTGGATTATTAATTATTTTCATCAGTTGAGAGGGGGAAGTTTCCCTCTTTTTCCAGCAAACTTGTTTAGTCAGTTCAAATCTTGCACGTGCCACATCATGGGAATGCCTGTCCTCCTCCCTCCAAGCTGAGTCTGTCCAAATGGGTAGTTTGGAGACAACCTGATGGATGATTGGAAGATTCAACAGTATTCAGACTATGGGCACACTTCAAAGTAATCAGGGTTTTTAAATAGAATTTCTGTCAGCTTTCCTGGTTTTCATAAGATACTAAACTTGGAGGCCTTTGATCAGCATAAGAAGATGGAAGACTGAAGTAGAAGGGTCTGGGCAGGGTTTAGTTTGCCAAAATGACCACTTGGTGAATTTGTACTTGTCAGGTGCTGGTTATGGAAGACAGCAAAATGTGCTGCAACTTAGGCTATGGAAATTTAGGGTATAGGAAATTGTGTTTTATACTTCCCTGATAGCTTTTGGCTTGATTTGTGATTCTCTGACCTAGTTTTCTCTTTGCGCTAGCTAACTAAGACATTTAGTGGCATAATGTAATGTTTAATATTAGGTCTGTATACTGTTCCTTATGTCGGAAATAGGTGTGCTTGCTTTCTTATATGAATTAAGCTGTATGCTGTGGGAAAGTGGCCTGGAAAAAGACATTTTGATTATTTTGCTTCAAGTTTATCAAACTCTGGGGAGGACGTGGCACCTCTTCAGTTGTGTGTACTTCCTCTTCTCCTTCTGCTTGAATGTAAAATAAAAATTGGGAGTGAGAAATACTTGTGTTATGTTATCATTGAATTTTCCATACTTTCCATAAAATCATAGCACAGTTCTTAGTGCTGTGTGGTCTGCCTGCCTGCTCTACTCAGTGGAAAACTTAACCTAGTTGTTTGCTTTTCCCTTTCATGCTATTCTTTGTCAGGTTGCTTTGAGTAACATGTTTCTCAATGTTGGTTTGAATTTTTCTTAGCTTTCAACCAGCTTGTGCTGGAATTTTGGGTTTGTCCTGAAGTCTCACCATGCTTGGAAGTTGTTTTCCCTGCAGTTCAGGCCAGTGCAAATGTTCTTGTGCCTTGGAGTGTGAAAACAGCTACTCGGTGATTACTCTGATTGTGATACTGTCTTTTCTGGCCACTTACGTGACTCTTCCTTTGTTTAAATGTACAAATTGCATTATTACAAGTGCAAAATTAGTTTCCATCCATATGTTTGGAGTAGCATACCTGTTTTAGTTATTCTTGTTTCTGTGCAGTTCGCAGGCATCTGTAATTTAAAAGGGGTCATGAAAACAGCACCTCTTCAGATGTTGTTTCTAAGCAGCTGTCAGAGCCCATGTCTATGATTTGCAGTGGCAGAAGCCCTGAAATCAGGAGCTGGGCTGGGACCACTGGAAGTTTTTGGGGTGGTGAGGGAAGCAATCTGACAGCTTTATGTGCCTTGTAACTTCCAGTGGTTTGGAGAGAGATTTTCCAGCTTGTGCACTCTGAAAAAATGCTACTTCTCAGTGACTTCTTACAGTAGCATTAGTGTACCTAATAACTTGGTTGTTATTGAGCAGTTTTAAGTAAGAAATAAGCATCTGTTGAAAATGGAGAGCGTGCCGTGGGCACTGCAAAACAGACCCTGCAGTGAGTTTTCAGAGGGGCTGTCCTCATCGTGGGCCGTGGCAAACCCTCAGCCCATTTTGGCACAGCAGCTTCTCCATCAGGACAAAGCAGCCTGCTGCTGGCTCTGGCTCTGTCAGGGCTCTGCCTCTCCCTTCGCCTGCTTAGACCTTCCTTTCATAAAGGCTTTTTTTTTTGTCCCCTCTGTGCTGTAAAAGTATTAACAGCTTAAATATGTGGGAAGTGGGAGGACAGGCTGCTTCTGAATCCTATTAAGCGCTGTGCTGAAGGAATCGAGATGCTGTGTTAGTCAGCTCAGTGTTTTCCTTCCCTGACTGGGAAGAAATAGTCAAAATTCCAGAAAGAATCATAGCCAGATGTTTGTCATTGCTCCGGTTTGACTCTCCTAAATATGGCAAATAAGCTTCCTTAGGACTTATTTTCGTCTGACCTCAGAAGAGAAAGTTAGTAGTTCACTATTTAAAATTTGAAGTTATTGTAGAGTTTAAAAAGAAAGTAATTGAAGCTTTGCAATTTGTGTACTCTTTGATTCTTTTATGTATTTTTACAATATGTTATTTTGTGTTTGGGGGCTTGACTTTTTTGATGCTATGTAGGAATGTGGTATTGGGTGGAGAAAGGTAAAACTGCAGCCGTTCTGTTGACAGACATTTGGTCTGTATGTGTTGTTTTTAAGGGAAGATGTGAACATAAATTGTGCTATAAAAACAATTTACTGCTTCATGTTTCTCTGGACACTGGGCGTCCCATTATGGGAAAAGATAACAGTTGTAATGCAGCAAAACAGAAACAATCTGAATATTCCTGTATGAAAGGTCTAGTCAAGGCATATGTTTAACTTAAATCACAGCAACCATTTAGTAAAATGGTGATCAAGTGTTTTCACAGTTGAAGTTTGAATGTAATGGAATTAATAACTTTGTATGGCTGTGATACACTGTAGTGAATATCCATCACCACATGATGTGCATAGATGAAAAACTTCTCGTGAGGGTTCAGAAGGGTGAATTGAGGAAGAGTGTGAGAGTAGCATTTAC